GTGACTGTCAGATAGCATTCATCGACGTCTCGAACTTGAAGTATCGACTGGCTGGTACCATGGTTCACCTCACTCGACAACTACGTGAACGTATCATTGTCTGGCGCCATGAGCAAAACAAGACACTCCGAGTGATTTCTGAGCTTGCGGGATGCAGCATAAGCACAATCTTTGAAGTTCTCCGACTCTACACGGAATACGGCACAGTCATCAACCCGAATGCTAGACCTCGAGGCCGGCCGCGTACTCTGGACATGCAGGATATGAACTTCGTGCGATCAGTTATTGAGGGAGAGCCTGCTATCTACCTTGATGAGCTACGAGATCGAGTCTACAACAGACTACACAGCACATGCAGTTTGTCAGCCTGAGGGCGGGCTGCAGTCTACAGAGTCACACAGTCACAAGAAGCCATCTCGCATTACTACATATGGGTATATTTGGCTCGAACAAACAATGCTCACGGAAACTTGATTTTCGGTTTCATATGCAAACGACTGTAACTAGGCTTGCGACTGTAGACGGAGTCGCGAGCCTAGTTAGGCTTGGAAACCTTATTTGCCCACCCCACGTTAATGCCCCATCTGTTTCCTACCCCACCTGTACTCTCTAACTTGCAAGCCAGAGTCCCTTGTATACGTATCTAGTGTACGTAGCAGTGCCCAGCATGTATAATAACCGCTGCCCTCCGTCGCCTCTGCCGCCCACCTCCCCGTCCTCGCTGTCTCTCCCGTTGACCGCTGTCCTGCTGCCGCTGCCGGGCCGACTCCGGTAAGGGTCTGTACGGTTGACCAGGAGTGTCAGGTCTATTTTGCATTTCGCACTTGCGTTTGGCTGAGGGCACGCCGTGAGTTCGAATCCCGATGAGAGCAACGGGCAAGGGGCCGTGGGAACGTCCCGGATACTGCCGTACCCCTGTTGTCGCTGTGCTCGACGTTGCCCGACGCATTGTCGACGCTGTTGTCGGCGACGTCGACGAAGGTTGCGCTGAAACTCCCAAACAAATACTGAAAAAATTGTAATCCTTCTGAACAGGCATAGATTTGCAACTATTAGGGTGTAAATGTCTAGACATGTTTAGGTGTTGTGTGAAAGTTTGCCCTCGAAGAGTGTGCTGGATAGTGTGGCCATATTAGATTTGTCTTGTTGAAGTTCATCGTGGGTCGCGTCACAGATACCACACCACCGCATTTATTCTGCCGCTATTTGTACTCATCTACTGTCCATGCAGCATTTGCAGCTAACAGAGCACACATGTTCCTGAAGCCCGCAAGGCTGGCCAAGGGTGTGTGGCAGACGCCACAATTTCCTTCCCACACTTGCCGACTACCTAATGCGGTAGCAGGTCGGGACCGTCGAACATGCGCGTGTTTGCTCCCTTGCAATTCGCCACGACGGGTTACTAGTAGTATAGGGGGAATGCGCAACGGCGTCGGATATGGATTAGTTT